CCGAAGGTCTCACCATGCTGCCCCCATTGACCGCGAGGGGGTCCGCCAGCCCACTGCCCCCGACTGGGAGGTGAACGATGTTGCCAGGGCTGGCGGGGTACTCAAGGCCGAACACCACAGCATCCTGCCTTAGAGCACCTGAAACGGGGTGCGGGATAAAGCTCCCCACATAGGCATTCCCACTGAGTCGCCATGGCCGAGGCAAACTCAAGGTTAAAGCTGCTAGCAGGAGAGCCCGCGCGCACGCCGTCGAAAGTTTGAAGGTTTGGCCTGGGCGCCGACAAGCCAGCCAGGGAATCACATTGAGCCGCAATGGCTACGGAGCTCCCTTTGGTGCCACGGAACGCGTGAAGGGGCGTGCCGACATGGGCGTGCGCGACGCACGCGGGCGGCGGCATTGGCGCCTTCGGCGGGGCCCCCGATGGAGCCACGAAACGCGTGAGAGGCGCGCCGAAATATAAGCGCGCGACGCACGTGGGCGGCGCAGGGGGGGGGGAAGGGGGAAGGAGGGAACGCGGGGGCCGCCTATCCAAAACGAGGACCCAACACCACAAGATGGTTGGGACAAATTGCGCCGGTTCGTTTGGGCATGGCAAACAGACCCAGGACACTCCTATGATGTTCAACATGTACCCTGAAGGCTTCTCGGGCGCACCCTTTTCACGCCATGGCTTGCTGGCGCACGGCGTGCTTGTTTCGTCCCTCTTGGGCAGCTGAGAAGTCAGCTGGCGAGGGTGAACATACGCTGCGCCAGCCAAGCCGCGAACCCGGCCTCAGCTAGGAGTCGTAACTCGAGTTCCATGGGGCTAAGCATTAGCTCTGATATTTGCTGGGCGACTGCCTCTGCTAGGTCACTGCTTCTCGGGACATGAAAGGCCTGCCTGTCAGCCAACGAAGACGAGCAATCAATACGATGGTAACAGGTGCTTGCTGTCTTTCGCCTGTCTGCCGCCTCAGCCCTGAATCGAGCCCACCAGGCGTCCAGAAGCATAATCGGAGATTTCGTGCCAACCATCGAACATAACGCGGCGGTCTGCATATACCCAGATCGGGCCCTGGGTGAGTTTCAGGGCCTTCCAGGTGGGCAACAAATTCAGCGCGCGAGTTCGTTTGCGCTCCATCGGTTTCACGACGCGCACCACGACGGAGAACCTCAAGATCATTGCACTCGACCTGCTGCACACACTGGGCGAAGTGCACTCCCCAGCCTGCACGCTCCATCTGCGCGCCCGTGCTCGACGCCGAACCGATCAGGAAGGCCAGCTTGCTAATGAGGCTCTAGTGGTACGAGACGGTGAAATCGGGCAACCTCTCGGGGCCGTTCCAGTCCAGGCAGCGTGGCCACTGCTGATCGCCCTAAGATGGGGGCGATGACACTTCGTTGCACGTACTTGGGAACATGCCACGCTCCCAGAATTCTAAGTTCACCCCATTGGCGACGTCTTGCCTTGTACAGCTTCAGCCAGCATCTTCTCGCTCTGCCGAATCCACGAGTGGTCGGTGACCAGCGTGCGCTTGCACTTCCAGACCCTCTGGCCCATGGTCTCAGGCTGGCCTGCGGTACACCTTCTTTCTTCTTTCTTTCGGCACAGCCTAAAGCGCCTCAGGCGCTGGCAGATGAATACGGCAAAGCTGGATCGAACGCCCACAACACAGATTTCCAGAGCCCATAACACAGATATACAGCTGATGTGCAGCTTGCTTTGTTGTACATATCATTGCACGCAACCGCCTCAAGTGCTGCAGCTTTTCGACGTAGCTGCATCCGCCTCATTCGCTGTATTGTTTCGGCAGCCGGTGTCGGAAGGAGCGCGATCCACCGCCGTTGGCCCGAAAAATCACACCCACCATGTGGGCTAAGGTGGACTAGCGAGATACTTGCATCTTTTTATATTTAGAAAAAAGAAAAAACTCTTCGTACCTGCCCCCGCCCCTGTTGCCGGGGGGGTCGCGATTGGTCAGGGCGCCCAAGATGGTCCAAGATGGCTCCAAGAAGGCGTTCAGTGCTCCAACATGACCGAACTCCTAAGCGGCTCAAGATAGCCGACGATGGATCAATATAGATTCCGACACACCTCCAAGAGGCCTGGCGAATGCCATAAGACGGTTCCAAATACTTTCGGAGCCCCACCAGAAACCCCCCAAGAGGCCCAAGCCCTCCAACAACTAAGAGAAGTTACTGATTTCTGACTTCTCGCGATTTTGCTTCGGATGCGATTTTGCGGCCTCGAGATGGCTCCAAGATGGCCCAAGAAAGGCCCAAAAGGGGGCCGAGAGGTCCCCCAGACGGCCCCAAGAGCGCCCAAGAGCGCCCCAAGATGCGATTTTGATGGCCCCAAATGACCAACAAGCGGCGCTGGCCTCGGTGGCCAAGGGCACCAAGGATACAACGTCGCCTGGCAGCAATGGAATGTGTTATGTCGCATCCGCGGGAGGAGCCCTATCCTGGATGGCAAAACCAAGGAGGAGAAGCGCGAGGATGAGGAGGATCTGCTACTGTTCGTAGCTCGTCTCTGGAACAACCTCCACCGCGCGCACGGCGCGATCCGCGCGAAGTTGCTGGGTGTGAGGGCACAGCATGTGTGGCTCGGGGGGCAGGACGCGCTGCTGGGCAAACCGAGGTTGTGGGTGCCGCTGAACGGGATCGAGAGGCTGCAGGGCCCCGGGGCGCGCAAATTACCAATTACCGTCAGGATGCTCGAGAATATCAGGAGGCGCCGGAGACCAAAGGCGGATCCGGACGCGGCGGTGCCCTACTACCTGATCATCACGGCCTTCTTCTTCCTGATGGGGATCGGGGAATACGCCTACGCGGGCAACTGGGACCACAAGAAGGTGTTGACGGGCTTGGATGTGGCAGCGAAAGCGAAGGAAGGACCAGCGCCCCAATTCGCCCAGGCAGACGAGGTGGGGCTGCGGTTCAAGGCGAGCAAGACGGATCAGGTCGGCGCGGAGATGGCCAGAAACCACAACGGGGCAGGAGTCGAGATCTGTCCGGTGCGGGCTGCCGAGCAGTGCCGGAGGCATTTCCCCGCGAGGATGGGAGGAGGCAAGGAGGCTCACCTCCCGTTGGCGCGGTGGTCGAACGGCAGCCCTGTTTCGAGGCGGAGGCTTCAGGAAGAGTTGCAGCGGGCGGCGGTGGCGAAAAATTATCCGGCGTCGCAGTTCGGCTCCCATTCTTCGAGGATTGGAGGAGCCACGGCGGACACCGAGGTGGTGAAGAAGTGGGGAAGGTGGAATAGCGGCGCCTTCCACCGGCACCTGTGGGAGGCCAACGAGGCGGCCCGAGGAGTGGCGGCTGCGATGGCCAAATCATTGTCTACCCTTCATGTGGGCTGCGACGCGGCGAAGGTGAGACCCCACAGGAGAGTAAAGCCGAGGGCGGCCCCAGCGGGAGGTTGAGGACCTGAGGAGCTGTCAGGAGTGAGGAGGCGCGCCTCTAGCCTCTAGCAGGTCGCTGGCATACGGCGGCGGGCACGCTGAGAGACGATGGATGGTTGGTTGCGCGCGACGGCGCCCAGGCCGGCAGGAGAGGAGTCGGGCACCCGCTCGCGGTGTGGCCCCACGCGAACCATGTTGGCGACGTTCCGAAGTGCAGGCCCGAGGCGGGGCAGGAGATACATCGGCGGCAAGCGGAGGCAGCGAGGAGCGCCGAGAGAGGCGGTCAGCCTCGGGAGCTGGGCGGGCGAAGGCCCGCAGGAGGAGGCAGGCCGAGAGGAGCAGGAAGCGCCGGAGGCCGAGGAGGCCCGCCAGCGCGGTCTCCGGGCAGGTGGCTCGTGAGCGAGTGGGCTGCGAGCCGCCGTGGCGACGCAGTCCCTGCCCGGGCCAGCGGGCAGGCCAGTGGTGCGCGGGGCTCGCCCGATCAGCGGGCGGGCCCCGAGCGACGTGCTGCGGCGTCGGCCAAAAATGGATTGGTCGTCGTCGCGCGTCGCACCTCATTTCAGTTGTGGCTTTGCGGTTCCGCACGCCCCCCGCTCTCTTCAAAGGTGAGAGTCTGAGCGCAGCAGAACGTAAGTTTCAAATGGCTTGGACGGGCTGGGGGGTGCCCGTGCTTCTCTCCTGTCTCCTCATTCGTCCCCCCTTCGGGCTCAAGTTTTTCTTTGGGGCCTCACCCTCCCAGCCCTCCCAGGCCACAAAGACCTGTACAGTCGCCGCCAGCTTCGAACCAACTTGAGGCTGCGAGCTGCGATGGCGACACAGTGCCTGCCCGGCCAGCGGGCAGGCTAGTAGTGCGTGAGGCTCGCCCGATCAGCGGGCTGGCGGCGTCGGCCAAAAAGGATTGGTCATGGTCACGCGTCGCATCTCATTTTAGTTACCGTTTTGCGGTTACGCACGTCCCCAGCTCTCTTCAAGCTAGGTATTGCGCGTGTTCTGTGGAGGAGGAGAAGGAGCAGGAGGAGGAGGAGGAGGGGGTGGAGGAGACGCAGGAGAAGGAGAAGGAGGAGGAGGAGGAGGAGGAGGAGGAGAGGAGAGGAAGATAATCATGACGAGGAGGAGGAGGAGGAGGAGGAGGAGGAGGATTTTCTCCCCGCGAGGATTTATCCACCACCATATTTCCCCTCTTCGGGGGTATGTCAAGGAGCCTGGACGTGGCAAGACACAGGCTCCAGCTAGAACAATCCATCCCACGACCTCCGACGCACGGCGAGACGATGAGTACCACCAGGAGGAGCGCAACGAGGAAGACGTGCACCAAGAAGACGATCGAACCCCGCAGAGCAACACGAGCAAAAGCATTGCCGCGTACCAGCCAGCCACGTACAGCATTAAAAAAGGGGAACCAGTTAGCCGCGCACAGCATGCAGACAATCTTGATGCCGAAACTCTGGGCGAGAGCCGATGTCCCCTTCCGTAGTCGTCGAAATCGGAGGAGGACGAGGACGACGAGGAGGAGGAGGAGGAGGAGCAGGAGCAGGAGAAGGAGAAGGAAGAGGAGGAGAAGATGGTGAGGGAGGGGAAAAGGCGGCGGAGGCTAGAGGGAGACCCTCCGGCGCCAGCGCCTGCAGGAGGGAGCCCACCGACGCGGCGGGGCTGGGCGAGAAGCCCCGCGGGCGCCCGCCGCCGCGCACGCGCCCGAGCATGCCGCGGAGCTCCGAGTCGGTGCGGTCCTGGGCCCGTCGATCGGGTCCGCGTGGCCGCCGCTTTGCTCCGCGCCCCGCGCTCCGCCCACCTTCCACTCCCTCAGCTGGGGCAACGTGGCGAGACGTGGCGAGACGTGGCGAGGCTTCCAGCATCGCTGTAGCATCTGGAAACTGGAAATACACACCCGTTCGCCGCTGATCGCTGGGAAGCTCCGTCATTCACGCCGCTGCAGCCAGTCACTGGAAGTAACCACCCATTGGCCGTTGGAAATAACACCTCAAGACCCACCGCATATATTGGTCGCGGGAAAAAGCCACCCAAACGTGGAGCTTAGGCTGGTGTCCAAGTTCGGGGAGACGTACGACTCGGGTTAGGGGGGCTCGGGTTGACCCGACGGGGCCATCCTAAAAATGACGGGACCCAGCCTGAAATTTGACGCGGGCTCTCGCTGTAGACATCCCACGAACACTGGACCGTCAAAATCCAGGACGCACTCGTCTAAAGCGTCGGCTAACGTTTCTCCGACAAGGGTCGCTGCCCGGAAGGCACAAGATATTCGAGCTGGAGGGGAACGAGGTGGGTTGTCGCCGCTACTGCTGGAAAAAACGTAAGTCGCGACCCCGACTGCCTGCATTATGGCTCCTCCTCCTTATCTTCCTCCTCGTCCTCATATTCTCCCTCCTCCTCCTGATCACCAACACCACCACAATCATCACCACCACAACCACCATCACCATCACCATCATCATCAGCATCATCATCATCATCATCATCATCATCACCACCATCATCATCATATACATTATCACCCTCATCATCACCCTCACCATCAGCATCATCCTCATCCTCATCCTCGCCATCATCAGCATCATCATCATCCTCAACAGCATCATCAGCATCATCCGAATCGTCATCCTCATCATCATCGTCATCAGCAGAAGAAGCATCAGCATCAGCATCACCATCACCATCACCATCATCATCATCATCAACAACATCAGCATCACCAGCATTATGATAATAATAAGCATCATCATCCTCAGCATCCTCGTCATCCTCATCGTCATCGTCATCGTCATCGTCAGCATCATCATCATCATCATCAGCAGCATCATCATCATCATCATCCTGGGCATCATCATCACCATCCTCAGCATCAAAGTCATCATCATCTTCAGCCTGATCCGCATCATTATCATCATCATCATCATCATCATCATCATCATCATCATCATCATCATCATCATCATCATCATCATCATCATTATCGTCATCATGTTCAGCATCATCATCACCATCAGCAGCAACAACATCATCATCATTAGCAGCATCATTGTCATCATCGTCATCAGCATCGTCATCCTCGTCATCATCATCAGCATCACCCTCAGCATCAATCTCGTTATCATCATCGCCGCCCTCATCCTCATCCTCATCCTCATCCTCATCCTCATCATCAGTCTCAGCATCATCAGCAGCCTCAGCATCATCATCATCATAATCCGCATCATCATAATCCTCATTATCGTCATCATCATCATCCTCATCAGCAGCAGCTTCATCATCATCAGCAGCATAAGCATCAGCCTCGTCATACTCATCGACATCCACAGTCGTATCATCATCAGCATCATCACCATCATCATTATCAGTATCGTCATCATTGTCATCGTCAGCACCACCATCATCAGCATCATCAGCACCATCATCATCAGCATCACTATCGTCATCCGCATCGTCATCATCAGGATCACCATCATCGTCATCATCATCATCATCCTCATCAGCATCATCATCATATCTTCCTCCGCATCCTCATCCTCGTCCCCATCATCAGCAGAATCAGAATCATCATCATCATCATCATCATCATCCTCGTCATCCTCATCGGCATCCTCATCATCATCGTCATCAGCATCAGCATCAGCGTCATCATACTCGTCATCATCCTCATCATCATCATCATCATCGTCATCATCACCAGCATCATCATTATCGTCGTCGTTATCATCCTCGTCATCCTCATCGTCATCCTCAACCTCAGCATAGCAATCATCATCATCAGCATCAGTTTCGTCATCAGCGTCATCATGATCGTTGCCGCCATCCTCATCGTCAGCATCATCAGCATCAGCATCATCCTTATCAGCATCATCATCAGCATCATCCGAATCGTCATCCTCATCGTCATCCTCATCATCATCACCAGCATCATCAGCAGCATAATTATACGTATCATCATCCTCATCATCCTCGTCATCATTATCCGCAGCATCATCATCATCCTCATCATCATCCTCGTCATCATCATCACGATCCTCATCATCATCAGCATCATCCTCGTCATCCTCATCCTCATCCTCAACCTCATCCTCAACATCCTCATCCTCATTCTGAAATTCATCCTAATCATCATCACCATCACCATCACCATCACCATAATCATCATCATCATCATCATCATCATCATCATCATCATCATCGTCATCCTCGTCAGCATCACCATGATCATTATCATCATCCTCTCCTCGCGACCCTCATCGGCATCCTCATCCTCATCATCATCCCCGTCATCATCATTATCATCCTCGTCATTCTCCTCACCATCCTCATCCTCGTCGTCATCATCATCATCGTCGTCCTCGTCATTATCATCGCCATCCTCATCCTCATCCTCACCCTCACCAACATAACCAGCATCAGTATCATCAGTATCATCAGTATCTTCAGTATCATCATCATCATCATCATCATCATCATCATCATCATCATCATCATCATCATCATCGTCATCATCATCATCCTCGTCATTATCATCGTCATCGTCATCATCATCATCAACAGCATCATCATCATCATCATCATCATCATCAGCATCGTCATCCTCATCGTCATCAGCTGCGTGGAGGGAGGGCGACTAGGTTTCAAAATGTTGCTGTCACATTAGGGCCGCGCGCATGCGGTTGAAAAACTGTCAGCAGTGGTCCGGATGGAGGGCGATCGGTGATCCAAGTGCTACTCTCACCAATGCGCCGCGCACAGTCATTTACAAGTTGGGCTGTCGATTGAACCCCTTCACCGCCTATCACCAAAAAGCACAGCGAAAACTTCACGGATAGAAAATGAGTAATCTTCGAAACGGGGCTCTCGCCAGAGATTCCTCCAGCGGCATGACCAGAAAGTTCAATAGGTCCAACGCCTACACAGATGGAGGGCGAACACGTTTCCAGCCCCCCTCCTCCTCATGAGCCTCCCCCTTCCCATCCGACGACGACAACGATACTCGGTCACTGGAGGCCACCGTGGCCGCCGAGGGCCGCAGGATGGGCGCGGTCCGAGAACTTGTTCACGGCCTTCTTCCAGGAGACACCCGGCCGGGCGTTGTGCGCCGCGACCTCGGCATCAGGAAACAGAAAAAAACAAAAACGTCCAAAAACCTCCTCAGCCTCCCTCCCTCCTACTCGATCCTCCTTCCCTCATCCTCCTCCTCCCTCCTCCTTCCTCATCCTCCTCGTCTTCCTCCTCATCCTTCTCTTCATCCTCCTCCCCCCTCGCCTCCCTCGTCCTCGCCGTCATCATCGTCCTCGTCCTCGTCCTCGTCATCGCGTCCTCCTCGTCCTCGTCCTCGTCGTCATCCTCCTCCTCTTCCTATTCTTCTTGCGAAAACCTGTGCGTGAGGCTCGGCCCCTCACGCACAGGCTTTCACCCCGCGAAATCCGATCAGGATGGGGGCGCCGCGACGTGCGGGCTGGCACAGCATCTTCCCCCCGGCCCGTCGCACTCTCGCAACAAGTGCTGGGCGCAAAACCGAACGAGGGCACCGCACACTCTGCGGGCACTGCACCGTGGAAACGTGGCCACAAGAACGTGGGGCACGACCATGAGCCCCTTCGCCGAGCGCCCAAGGCCCCATGGGGACACTCAAAACCCGAAACGAAGAGCAGTCCGATATGGGAAACCGAGACACGAAGGACCGAAGGGCACCCGCGCAAAACTGGGGTTTTTTCACCCTCGTGCCAGCTGTGACCCACATTCTCGGCGATCTCGTGCTCGCGACGAAGACGGAGGGGGGGGGGTCGACCTGGGCGGCACCCGCGCTCCCAGCAGCCCCCTCTCGGCCGCTGCAGCTCGGGCTCCTCTCGCCACCCTGGGCCTCCCCCATACACAAGGGCCCTGCTCTCAAGACGGGCCCTCCCACGCGGGACGGACCTGGGCATGGGCAGTAGGAGGGTCGGGGAGACGTAGGACTCGAGTGTTGGGGGCCCGAAGTTGTCTGATGGGGCCGTCAGAAAATTCGCCGGCCCAATGGGCCAGAGGCGTGCTAAGATCTCCGGCCACTGGTAAACAATATTTCTAGTTCGCGCGCGCGGGGCGGCCCCTGGTGGTCCCAGGACGAAAAGTACCCTGGCCGGTACTACTCAGAGATGGGTTTTCCTTCTGGGCGCGGCTTTCAGGCGCCCCCGAGCGCTAGAGGGCCCCAAGAGTCCCCAAGACGGTCCAAGAGGGCTCCGAGTCGCCGACCGATCGGTCCAAGACGCCCAAGATAGGCCCCAGACGGCCGCAGACGCTCCCAAGACGCCCAAAGAGGCCTCGAAGAAGCGCCTCAAGAGGGCTCCAGGAGCCAAGAACCGTCGATTTCCCTTGGGTGTTTGAAGGATCTTGCCAGTCTCATCTGGTCGGCTTCCCGACGCTCCAAGACGGCCCAAGAGGCCCCACATATCGCCCCAAGCAGCCCAAGAGGCCTCCAACAGAGCCCTAAGACGGCCCAAGACGCCTCCAAGACGGCCCAAGGTATCCCCCGGACGGCCCCAAGAGGGGGCCAGACGGTGAAACCGAACCGACATTTTGAGCCCTCGGCCCCAAGACGCTCCCAAGACGCCCAAAGAGGCCTCGAAGAAGCGTCTCAAGAGGGCTCCAGGAGGCAAAAACCATCGATTTCCCTTTGGTGTTTGAAGGATTTTGCCATTTTCATCTGTTCGGCTTCCCGACGCTCCAAGACGGCCCAAGAGGCCCCACATATCGCCCCAAGACGGTCCAAGAGGCTTCCAAGAGAGCCCCAAGAGGACCCAAGAGGGCCACAAGACAGCCCAAGAGGCCTCCAAGACGGCCCAAGATATCCCCAGGACGGCCCCAAGAGGGGGCCAGACGGGGAACCCGAACGGACATTTCGAGCCCTCGGTCCCAAGACGCTCCCAAGACGCCCAAAGAGGCCTCGAAGAAGCGTCTCAAGAGGGCTCCAGGAGGCAAAAACTATAGATTTCCCTTTGATGTTTGAAGGATTTTGCCACTCTTATCTGTTCGGCTTCCCGGCGCTCAAGGACAGCCCAAGAGAACGGAAATATCGCCTCAAGACGGCCCAAGAGGCCTCCAAGAGACCCCCAAGAGGGCCCCAAAACGGCCCAAAAGGCCTCCACGACGGCCCAAGATTTCTCCAGGACGGCCCCAAGAAGAGGCCAGACGGGGAACCCGAACGGACTTTTTGGAGCCCTCGGGCCCAGAAGGCGCCCAGGAGGCCCCAAGAAGCCCCCACAAGCTCCCCAAGAGGCTCCAAGAGGCCCCCAATAGGCCCCCAAAAAGGCTCCCAAGACTCCCAGCAGGCCCCCAGGAAGCCCCCAAGAGGCTCCCCAGAGGCTGCCTCCGAAGAGACCCCAAGAAGCATCCATAAGGACTTTGACCCACAACCCAGGTAAGTCTCGAACCTCTTCTAGAGCTCTCTTGAGCCATCTTGGCGCCCGCTGGGGCAGTCTGACGGCTCCCTTCGACAGGGTGCGAGCCACATATCCAAAGATCTCCTCGAAGATTGTACTGGCCTCCCCCTGGGCACGAGCACACCACCACGCAGCCACAGTGATGCGAAATGGACTGACGGAGTGAGCGAAGCGATTAAATAACACAACCTGGTCTGAAGTGTGAAGCGAGCTCGCGCTGCAGCCATCTCATGAAAACCGGACCGTCAAAACATACGCCAGGAACGTCAAGGAACGACAGAACCCCCGAGTCCCGGCAAATTTGAATCTTACGTGTCCCTGAAGGTAGGTGGTGGGGACAATGGCATGGACACGAAGTCGTGCTCAGCTGGTGACTCGAACGATGAAAACCCGCCAGGCATAGACGAATGTCGAGAGCCCTGAGCCGAGCCTGAGTGGAGCGGAAGGGGAGGGGTGAGGAGGGGGAGGGAGAGCCCTGCCGGCCGCCACGCGCGCTGCGACCTCGGCGCTCCGCGCCTGGAACAGCGACGCGCGAACGGCGCGGCCGACGTGGTCCCGCCCGGCGTCCTGCCGGGCCGGCCAGAAGGCCGCCAGTGGGCCTCCCCGCGCGAGCTGGCGGCGCACACAGCTCTCCCCAACTCCCTCCCTCCCTCCCCCCATCCCTCCCCCCCTTTTCCTCCTCCTCCTCTTCTATTTCTTCCTCCTCCTCCTCCTCCTCCTCCTCCTCCTCCTCCTCCTCCTCCTAACGCACACAACCAGAAGACATCGGAGGTCGAACGAACGCTGCCTACCGACAATCTGTAGGAACAAAGCAAAAGAAAACGGGGGACAGAGAGCAATGACGTCGACGATAGTGGAACGGAGGACTATCCCCTGAGCGAGTGCTCCCTGAAATCCGTCACCATCTTGCGACTCACGTAAGGATCCACGGGCACATGGACGTGCCCTGGGGCAGAATGGGGCGCCCAAGATTACCAAACCTCCCATCTGACTTCTGGAAACTTGGCCCGATGCAAGCATGCGGTACAACTCTGGCGGGTACGTTTTCGCATGCGCCGTGGTCCACTTGCCGTTGTCATGACCCCTTCGAGAGCCAAGTGCATATGACACCCTGGGCACTATCTTCCACCAAACTGTGAATTCACAATGTTCCCAAAGCCCTGAGCATGCACACATGACAAAGCGGTGGGCTTGATCGCCTGTGAACCGAAGCGACACGGGCATGTCCACCTTCTTGACACACGAGTGCAAGAGGATACGAATGATCTCAGGAAGCCACCATATGGAGGGAGCATGAGCCCTGTGACTCTTGGCAGGGTGTTTCGAGCACTATGGGTACTGCAGTTAGCACGCATTCATAAAGGAAGACAGTGGCGGTTCTCAGCAATGCATTACCCATTCGAACCTGGCTCCGTTCCGTTTTCTGGAGGTTATCCCCTTGAGGCCCCACGGTTAGAGGAGACGGCAGATGGGGCGCAGGCTTGTTTAACTCCGGGCAGGCTTGGAAACGGGAAGCGGACCAAGCTTCACTGGGTGGGCCCTCCATTATTCCACGCATGTTGCCATGCTTGAGCAACCCTTGCCACCACGTCACAGCCTTAGGCACCGCCAAATCCCCCCAGTTGGCACCGCTTGCCAGGCCCAAGGAAAACACCACCACATTAAATCCCCTGTCCACGCATTCGTGGTTTGAGGTAGTCCTGGAGATCCAAAGATCTACGATGTCCCCAAAACAGATGCAGAAAGTACTTGATTTTCCCCTGTGGGAAGTAGCGGATCGCTCGCGAACTGTGCTGGATGTTCTCCAGCCGTCCTCGGCTGGAATCTTTGGTCGATGGACACCGTGGCAGGTAAAATGTCCTGCGGCGGTGGCGCAAGTGGCCCATGACAAAAATTTGGCCCGTATATTTTCTGGCCTGGGAAGTTGACTCTTTTGTCATGGTACCCTTTCGCTCGGTTATCCGTTTGAGCCTGCCTTCCCTGGGTCTGAGATTTGATCAATTCCTCCGGATTCCCTTGCCTGCCAGTCGCTATCCAAGCCCGGCAGCACCTGGGTGTCCTGTTGAGGTCGGCGACGAGGCGATTGTGGGAATGGAACTGCATCACACAGTGTTGGCAAACTGCCCCATGCGCCCAGAACTCGGGTTGGTCCCAGGTCTGATGATTCCTCCCACCATGCATATTGAGGGCGCGTCTCGACTCGGAGTCAACCCCACTCTCGTACCAAAAGAACAGTGAGACGTGTTGGCGTGGAGGTTGGGGGTCCTCGACTGGCGGGCCGTCGAGATCCAGAGCCGCCCCCAAGGCGACCTCAGCGAAGTCGCATCGGAATTATCTGAGCACTTGCCCGTCCAAAATGGACCCGAAGCACCTGGTCGACCGTCCTAACCAGGGTGCGGTATTGCCTATTACTGTGCTCGGCAAAGTCGGGCCAAGCTCTCACTGACTCCATGGCACAATGTCAATCAGCGGTGAAAAGCGCGGTCCATCCTGCGCTGGCATCTAGCACGAAAACCAATAACATAGGAAACATGTCCGGCACATGCCTTACGGAGCGAGCAACATGCCGCAGCCGCGCCAGTATTTTAACGCCCGCAACGGTCAATCTCTCAGCCTGACAGAGGATATGTTGGCTGGTGTGCGTTGACCCCCCCCCCCCCCAATGTTCCAGAGTGGCAGTCCAAGGGCGGCCCCTGAGATGGGTCCGTGAGAGCCTTTGCGTGGCCCGAGAGGCGAGGTCGCGCCGAATGGCACAAGTAGAAGTCCCGAGATAGAGTGGGCCTCAGCGCACTTGCATCTCGTAATCTCCAAAGCCGCGGGGCTGCGTCTCGGCGACGATGGGTCTCCTGAAGTAGTTAATCGCCCAACGTCTCGTCGAGAACCCCAAGGGCCCTAACTTCTCGAGAGCAAACATGGGGGCAGTGGAGAGGGGCATGCCAATTAACAACTCCACGAAGTCACCCCGTTCCAACGGTGGCACAATGACCTGCTGCTGGGTTTCACCGAAGAAAGCCGCGGTCTGATCCACACAAACACAAGTGGCACGCGCGTTATCTCTTGCACAAGCAGGGAGAGCGAACGTCCACTGGCGGACGTCAGTGACTTCTCTAGCGGCCTCCCTGTACAGCGAGGAGGCCGCTGCTCTCGGCGCGGCGGGCGGGGGCACGGCGCGCCGCCCGCGGCTCGTTTACGTAGTTTTGATGGCGGCGAGGGGAGGTAGGTGGAACGTGAGCGGGGGCAGAGCAGCGCGCGCCCGCGCCACCTGTGAGGTCAGGTGGCCGCCCCAGAGCGTGGCGCGCGACCGTGAAGTGGTGCGCGACCTTGGCGTACGTCAGCAGGCCCTCGGACGCGGCATCCTTCGTCATGTGGTAGGCGCGGCGCGAGACCGCAAGGCGGGCAGCCGCACTCCTGACGCCGCCCCCCCCGTCGAAGGGCTGCGCAGCACCGCCCAGGCCCAGGCGAGGAAGGAGTTCTGGCGCCAGCAGACCACGAGGAAGTGCCGCGTGGTGCATCAGGCGCGGGCAGCAGAGGTAGCGGTCGATGGAGTCCCTGTTGCTGCAGCCGAAGTGGCAGCCCCGTTTGGCGCGAAGCGCGCGCATCCTGCATGAGGTCGCCCAGCCGCCACTGAGGGTCTTCATCACTGCCCGCAGTCTGGCGGGCGGGAGCCCGACCAGGTGGATCCTCAACCGCAACCAGCGCTCCTTCATGTCGGAGGGGAGTGCGTTCGTGCCGATGAGGTCGAGGTCGTCCGTCTCCATGGCGCCAGGTGGATCAGGCCCGCCTGGCGGGGCAGGGTCAGGATGGACAGCGCGGTGCGCGTCGACCCAGCGTCGGCGAGCGCGGCGTTCAGCGGCCAGCTCCGCTCGGCGACGAGATTGCTCGCGCATGTCTTCAGCACGGGGGCCAGCATTGCCCAGCAAGCGGAGCTCCAAAAGGCGGCGGCCGAAAGCACCATCCTCCCATGGCTGGCGGCACATCGCTCTCCCGATGGAGAGCCTCTGGGCGTCGGTCTGGTACAGAGGGCGAAGTTCACCTCGTAGAAGAACACCTGCCACGTAGTCCTCGCACCAGCTCTGCCAGTCGGCCTGGTTGTCGAAGCTCCGCAGGTTAAGGAAAATGTCGGGAAGCCAGCGCGCGGTCCATGCAGCAGCTCTTCGTTGGAGGCGGTCTTGCATGTCCTCCGCTTCAGCCAGAGCAGCATCACGCGGGCGGCGGGCGTGTTGGCGCCCGAAGTTGGCAGGGTACCAGGCAATGAGGCGGCGCTTGATCGTAATGTGCATGGTGTCATTGTAGAGCTTCTCTTGCAGCGCGAACTGATACGCCTTCTGCGGGGTGCGCTTACGCCGGCGGGGTGCATCATCATCATCACGTCCCGCGGGCCAAAAGACCCTGCGCCCAGACCATTTGGACACCCATGCCCATTCTGTCTGGGCCGCTTGGCGGCGCGGGCGGTATGTCAGCTGAGCAGCAAGAAGGCCTTGGCGAACAGCATGGCGATGTGCTTCATGAAGCGTGGTGCGGGCGCGCGACTCGTTGCCAAACTCGCGGGCGATGCGCTTGAACGCGGAGCCCTTCCCTTCGGCGAAGAAGGTGGACGAGAGGGAGCCCTTGAGCCGCTGGACGATAGACGTCGGGCCCTGCCAGCACGGCGCACTCCAGCGCCCCTCGATCACGGCGCGCGTGGGGAGCTCCATCATCGCCGCCTCGTGGAGCTCGTCGTGCAGGTGCGTCCAGTTCTTGATGGCGATATGGGCGGTGCGCCACATCGTCTCTGCGAGGAGCGTCTCGATGCCTTTCGTGGTCTCGACGTTCGCCCACAAGGTCATGGCTTGGATGTCGGTCTTGGCGAAGCAGTTCGGGGCGGCCCTCAACAATTTGTGGATGGCCTGGAGCTCCTTGGACAGCAGAGTGGGCGGCGGCTCGTAGAGCTGGCCGACGTAGGAGAGGCAGGTGACCGCGGCGACGTTGTACAGCTCGATGCATGTTTGGAGTGGGGCGGGTGATAGCGAGAGTTTCTCAATGCGGCCCCGCCACTTGCTTGTCGGCGCCTTCCATTGTTCCTGTACCGCAGCGCCTGGGCCGACCATAAACCCAAGATATCGAGCCATAGCCTCGACTTTGAAGTTCTGCCAAGGTGGGTGGATCTCGGTCAAGTACGCGCGAATCTCCTGGCGCAGCGGCTCTGCGGGGAGGGCCCAGGCGGGGACGATGATGCACTTCTCCGCTTGGAGCTTCAAGCCCGCAAGAGTTTCAGCAGCGACAAAATGGGGTACCAGTCGTTCGAGGTCTCGAAGGCGGGCAAGCATGATGCCGAGGTCGTCCGCACACGCACTGACCAGACCTCTCTCTGGATGGCCCGGGGCTCGGAGCCGATGGAGCGCGCGAACGGGTCGAACGTGAGCGCCCACAGCGCGCCGCTCAGTGGACACCCCTGAGCGACGCCCGAGGAGGCAATGAAGAGCGGCCGCAGGACCCCGTTCAGCTCGAGGAAGGATAGCGGCATGTAGTAGCACGCGCGCAGGAACTTGAGCACGCGGCCTGAGATACCCCAGCGAGACAGCACGATC